AGTGAGGGCTGGGGATTTAGCTCAGCAGTATAAGTGCCTGCCTGGTAAGTGCAGGGTCATGAGTTCAATCCCTGGTACCAAAAAAAAAAAAAAAAAAAAAAAAACAAAAAAAAAACAAAACAAACAAAAAACCAAACCCCAAAAATAAAAAACTGAGCAGTTAGGGTGGAGGTTGAATCTCCCCTTTCCTCCACTCCCTGCCCTCCTGTTCCCTTCCTTTCTCCTGCCCCCTGCCCCTTCCTGCACAGAGTAACCCTTCCCGTCATCTAAGGTGAGAGTGAGTGAGGAAAACTGGATTTAAAGAATTGTTTTCTTCTGCAAATGCAAGTCCTTTGGATTCGTACTGTTCTTGAATCGCCTATTGGGGTGACTGGCAACTTGAAGCCATCACAGCTTTGTCAGGGATTAGGACAGTGATTCTAGCCTTGTGCACTGAGTACGCCTAGTGCTAGCTTCTCTCTGTAGTTAATCTCTGAAAGCAAATATGCATCATACTTATAAACTGTGTTACAGCTAAAACGGGTTCAGAAAAAAGTACTTAAACCGTTTTTAAGGGCACTCACTAATGTGATTAGTTTTCATGGTTTCTCTTCTGGCTACTTGTTCTGAGGGAAGATAGCAGCTTCTTTCTTGGAAACGATTAAAATGGACTATTGATCACCAGCATCGATTGTAACTTACTAAAAAGGGAGGTTGGGGTGTTTATCCCATGTCAGCAAAGGTATTTACAGTCTTGACAGGTCCTGAGATAAAATTGCACAAGAGGGAGCCTGCATTGTAGGCGCAGAAGGGCAGGGGCATGGGCAGAGGAAGAAGTCATGTTGGTGGAGAGAGAATGGATTTAGAAGCCAATCAGACACAGATAGATAAACGGAGTCACCTGTTGCTAGTCAGCTGTTGCCCTGGTCACTAGGGTGTCAGGAATGAAATGTGACAGAGGCGCTCTTACAGATCATTGCCGTTAGCACAGAGCTGGTGCCCTGTGTGGAAGGAGCCCAATCTTCACAGTGGGCTTGCTGTGGCTGCTTGCCCTGCAGGAGGGGTGCTGTGGGATGTGGAGGAGCCAGCGTGCTCTTGACTGTGGGTGATGTGGAGGCTCAGGTGCAGGCAGGGCCCATGACTGCCTGTAGGGTACCACCTCTGTGCTCCCCAGTGATGCCCCAGCTTTAATTTCCTGGCGCCCTTTGTCAGGGAGAATCATCTTGCCAGGGAGACACAGTTTTACCTCTTTACCTCCCCACATTACTCTCAGGCCTCAGTTTGCAGGGGAGAGGAGCAGCAGGAAGTCAGTACACTGCACCGGCTCCTTCAACAATGGCTTTGGCACCGGAGCAGGGCAGTATCTGGGCTTCCTACCCCAGCCAGCGGTGTGTCAGGGTTCCCGTGCAGGCTTGCTGCTTTCTGTCTCTGCACTTTACCTCCCGTCATTTCTGTTCCTTTCCTCTCCGCCATGCCACACCCAGGTTCTGCCTTCACTGAGCCTTCTCTCTGAGCTGTCGCTTTCGTCGTTCCCACTCTGGCCTAGAATACAGGTTTGTGTCCTTTGTCAGCCTGCGCCATTGATTTGCACTGTTACTAATTGCAAGTATTTGTAACTGGACTGCAGTTTTCAAACCAGTGCTCTAAATCTTCATATCCTCTCCAGAGCAGGCACGGTGAGGATAGAGGACACCTGGTTCTTTTGCTTATCTGCCCAGCTTTGTGACATTCACAGGACACAACTGAAAGCCTCCTTCGTCCCCCTACCCTGAGTCTTGGCGTCAGAAACTGGAAACACAGAGGTGTCGTGTGTTCTGCGTCGCTGTCGGCTGCGCTCACTGGTCTATTGAGGGAGGCAGTCGATGATCAGCAGTGGAAATGCAGGTGCCATACACAGGCAGGCGTGCGGGGGAGTTTTTGTAGACACAGGCCATATTTATATAAATAAGTGTTGAAAGTATGTCTTAACAGAAAAAGATTTTTCTTAAAGTGAAAGTAAAAAGACCATTTTTAACAGCTCCCTGATATTTTGGCTGTAGTTGGCCCTTTTATCCTGAGAATTATTACAATCATAACAATTTTAAAACACAATTTATATTAACTTTGAAAACATGCCTTCTCACACTTTCTAAAAATAGTAACCCCTGGAAACAAAGTGTCTGTCTTACCTCACAGGTGCTGCTTTTACACCACAGGAAGCCTGAGGTTAAACAGAGGGCTCCAGAAGGGAGAGAAAGAAAAAAGAATCAAGTTCTGTCCTGTACAGATGCGGATTCTCTATAATGAATGTGATCATTATATGTACCTAAAACGAACTGGATAAAATCACTGTCTTTGAAAAATAAATAAACCGTAGGGAGCCTGACCTTGGTTGCCCCTGCGCTTCCTGCAGCTCTGCCAGAAGCACTGCTGTGGATCCCAGGGTAGCTGGCGGAGGCTGGGGAGCTCACTGTGTCTGGGAGAAACACAAAGGGGACTCTCGCTCCTCTGCTCGCTCTGAAAACCCCAGCAGATGGATCGGCCAACCAGAACGCTGCATTTCTTTTTGCCTCTTCTTACACTACAGAGACCTTCAGTTACATGAAAATACCCAAGAGAGAGCTTTCATTTGGGCAGCACTGGTGTAGGCGATTCAGGTGGAAGTAGTTGCTTACCTTTCCTGTTTGAGTTGAACATGGTAATCGGAGTCTACGGATTATCAATCAAGACTCTCGGCTATTAAATTTATGCCTAAAAGTTGGCATCTTCTGCCCTTCCTGTGTCCCGAGCTCTGGGAGAACAAGGTCGGCATGCAGTTCTTCTCAGGGAGGCGAGGATTTATTAAAAGAACTACAGAAAAACCTTAGATAAGGGAAGTGACTGTGCACAGCTGATGGGAAGCTCAGGAACATTGTGTGGATGAAGCCTGAGTGCAAATCAGAGGCTCTTTCCTTCAGTGACTTGACAAATGCTGAAGTCTCCCCACTGCATTACATCCTCCCTCAGAACAGAAATACACAGCTGGAAACAAACCTGAGGGCTCACAATCTAGGGAGGCAGAAAACTCCTCATCACACAGTCATATGACCATCGTAAGTCTACAATCCCCACACACTGGAGGCAGAGATGGCAGGATCAACATGAGTTTGAGGCCAGCCTCGTCCCCTACTGAGTTTCAGGTCAGCCTTGACTCCATGGTGACACCCTGTCTCAAAAAATGCTTTTGTTGGTTTATCATGCAAAAAAGCCCAAATGTGCAATGGGAAAATGGTGAAACAAAGCATGACAAAGTCTCATGATTTAATATACAGCTGTTGGAGTTGTTTCTAATAGTTGGGAAAGGATTACAGTAACCCTGGGAGTTTCACAATGGGATGTGAGGTTCAGAGGGTCCCCCCGTGTATAAAGTCCCTGCTCCTCTTACACAGAAAAGCTGCACATGTTCCACACTGAATGGTGCCTGCTGCTGGTGCTGCTCAGGGCTCACCCTCAGGAGAGAGCTGTGTCCTTTCCAAGAGGCCCACGGTTCTGCATAACCACTGTCTCTGCAGTGAGGGCTGGGCATGCTCTAGACGAGGGACTAGCTTTAATGTGGCAGGTGCAGGGTGAGGGTCCTCGATGCCCTTCTTGTTGGGACTCAGAGATGGGTTGTGTCCTGTGGTGCCGTGCTGCCCTTCACTGACAGCTCCACAGCACTCATCTCTTTCTCTCTCTCTATTGCTGTTATTTGCTTGCTATTTCTGAAGACAAAAATGTGTACCAGATGTGCTTCTAGGGATGCAGTGAAAATCTGATTTCTGAGTGTTCCTGGGCATCTGATTAAACTCCTTTGTCATTAATCCAGGCCCGATGTGCCCATGAGTTGCCCCCTCTGCTAGAACTTACTGACAGTGGCTGTTTATTTGGAAATCTTTCCCTTTGAAGTCAGTGGTATGCTATTATATTCATTAACTGAAAATAAAGGAAAACCTAATTGCATGGCTTGGATTTTTATTTTTTAGAACAGCTTGAAGGTCTTGAATAAACATTAAGAAGTAGTGAGGTCACACACAGTAGTACAGAGGTCACACCCAGCAGTACAGGGTAGGGCATATGTTACAAACAGGGAGGTGCTAGCTTTCCTGTGACCTGGAAAGCTCTCTGCTGCAAGAAAGTTTCCCTCTGTGTGCAGTCACTTGCAGGGGCCACTGCAGAGGAGGCACCTGTATTGGACTGAGGGTGATGATGCTACCAACATCTCCTCTCTGCCACGTGAGACTTGCCCTGCTTTGCAGGTGGTGTCCCCATGAAGTTGGGGCTATATTCACACTGTGAATTGAGGAATGCTACTGGTTTCCTTGTGCCTCAGGTTGTGTGACAAGAGGCACCTTTGAGGCCTTTGAGGCTTCCAAGACTTCATCGTGAGTCTGGTGTAATTTCAATCCTGAGGATGGGAAGCAGTTGGCGTCAGGATACCGCTGGCCTCTGAGAACACAGAGAGTGACCTGGGAGAGGCCCATGCCTGCTGAACCTGACCTGGTAGTGGAGAGGTCTATGTGGAGAGGAGGCACAACAGCCAGCGTGTCTCTTTATGGACACTGCTCCTGCCATACAGAGCTGCAGCTTATGTGGAAAGAGCAGGACTGTGGCATGTGCATGTCACCCAGCTGATGGATGACAGTTTAATAATCACCTTATCAATATACAACCTGTCCCACCTGTGGTTGCTCTTTCCTGGCAATCACTGCTCTTTTTCAAGGACAGTATCAGGCACAGCTGAATCATTGCTAAGAACAGCAGAAGACTTTCCCACCTTTTCAGTGGCATGTTTTTTTCTAATGGAAAAATATTTTATTCAGTAGGAACCCAGAAAAAATCAGGAGAAGCTATTTTAATTTCAGATAAAGTGGATTTCAAGGCAAAACTGATCGAAAGACCAAGAAGCTCACTACATATTGGTTAAGGAAATAATAAAACAGATAAACAGATAAACATATATGCATCAAATATTAGTGCACTCAACTTTTAAAAAATTTTGAAGAAAGACTAAACAAAACAGAAAATAGGTAGAAATACTACATATATTCAGAGAGAAAAAAACCAGTAAGAAATCACTAGTTGATGTTTACATATTGTTGTTTTACAAATAGTTGTTCAAGATATAAAAATGGAACATGTAAAGTAGGAATTCAAACAGCAAGACTGCAAACAGTTCTGTTCAACTGTCCAACAAAACTTAGTAACACTGTTGTCAGTCCTATACACTTAAACATCCATATCTTCATTTATGTTTAGATTAAACTAAAGCAGGTTAAAATCATTCTGAACAAAGAATAATAGTATTGCTGGATTTCACATCATGACACTCCGGGATCAGCACTGGGTACTGTAGTGTCTTTTTTTAAAAAAATTTAATTTAAAGAAAGACTGAACAAAACAGAAAATGCATAGAAATAATACATAGTGTCAAAGAAAAAAACCAGAAATCACTAATTGATTACAGATTGTCTTCTTACAAATAGTTATTCAAGATATTAAAGTGGATCATATAAAATGGGGATTCAAACAGTGAGACTGCAACCAGTTCTGTTCAACTATCCAACAAAAACTTAGAAATATGGTTATCAATCCTATACACTTAAACATACATGCAGGTATCCATATCTTCAATTATGTTGAGATTGAATAAACCCAAGCAGGCTAATATCACTCTGAACAAAGAATAGTACTATTGCTGGGTGTCACATTATGACACTCCGGGATCAGCACTGGGTATTTTAGGGTCTCTTTTTCTTCAAAGTATCTGTTCATTTCATCAGGTGTCATAAGATCAGTTCTAGTAAACTGTTTATAGATTCTACACATGTATGAGTCTTAACATGTATTTCTATCCTTTCTATATTAGAGGGAGAAACAAAACAAAGCAAAACAAAACATATTCCTATAAACACATGGAAAGAAAAAGACATAAGACCGTTGTACAATGAGTTCTACCATAGTTCCTGTGTTGTCTCTTGTTATATCCAATAGAATTGGCTATCTCATCACACATAGTATAATTGAATATATAAGCATATAATAAAAACACAACATTGTATATAGTATAGAACTTCAGAAACCGGCAGTTATCAAACCAGAATGTGCATTGTAGAGTCTTGTTATCTTCAGTGTAGTTGCCTATACTCTCAGACTTGATACTATCAATTGGATCAGTTTTGAGTAAAACCTTCTCTGCCTCATTTCTGTTATGCTCTTTTTTTGCCATCAGTTATCTGCTTATTTCTTTATTCTGTTTTCTGCTCCATGCATTGAGGCCTCTCTGCCACTGTTCCTGGAATCCGAGTACTTTTTTCTGTCTCTAGAATGCCCTGCAGTATTCTCTGTAGAATTGGATTGGTGGTTGCGAATTTTCCAAGTTCCTCTTTGTTTTGGAAGCATCTTGTTTTTCCATTAATTTCTAGAGAGAGTTTAGCAGGGTATATCAATCTGGGATGGAGGTTATTTTCTTTCAGGGCTTGGAATATTTCGCTCCAGGCTCTTCTTTATTTTTATTTTTTAAAATTTGTTTAAAAGGAAAAAAAAAACAAGACAAAACAGTGTAAGAGTACAAGTAATACAGGACTACAAAAAAAAAAAAAAAAAACAGTAAGAAATCACCAGTTAATAGATTACACATTGTCACCTTAGAAACAGTTGCTCAAGTCACAGGATTAAAGCATACAAAGTGGACATTCAAACAGTGAGACTGCAAACAGTTGTGTTCCATGATCCAACGTCAGTAATATGGTCATCTATCTAACACACATAAATACACTTGCAGTTGTATCCTTTAGAGCACTTTTTTTTCTCTCTCTTTTTTTTACAACATTTTACACATTTTGGGTTTTATTACTCCCACAGTTCTTATTACTCTCCTTTTGGAAGAAAACAAAACCAAATATGACAAAACAAAGCAGTCAGTCAAAACCAAGGATAGACATAGTACATGATGTTAAAAACAGACTACAAGGTTATCAACAATGGTTACCATAATGTCACCTGCTTCCCTAAAAAGAATTGCCTATATCATTAGGTATAATTAATTTGAACAAAACAGTAGAGAACAAGACTAATAAAACCTAAACATTGTAAACATTACAGGACTTTAAAAAAAATAATAGTCAAACCAGAATGGGCATCATAGTGAATTTTATTGCCTTCAAAGTAGTTGCCTATACTCTCAAACCTGTTACTATCAAACAGAGGGGAACAGAGTCTGATGAGTCAAAACAAGATAGTGGGAGTAATACAGGACTTTAAATCAAGTTAATAGGAAATCAAAAAAGTTGCTATAATACATCCTGCTAATTTTTTATTTTCCCCTTAATTAAAAAAAATAAAACAATAAAAATAAATAAATAATTTTTTAATGAATGAGGGGGAGATTGAGATAAAAGAGGACATAGCAAAATAACAATACAGGTCAAAGCAACCTACTGCTTCACCACCAAATAATCTGACTTAATAGTAGTTACCATAGTGTCTTTTTCCTTGAAATATTTGAATATAACTTTGTATACTATAGCATCAGACATATCAAAACAGTGTGAAACCATTCAAGTGAATGAAAGTATTACAGGGTATTTAGAACCAGCTAACAGAAAATGAACAATGGTTTCTATATTATCTCTTTGCCTATAAAAATTTTTGTTTATACTATCACATATAATAAAATCCAGTAAGATACAACATGATAAAACCAATGGAGACAGAAGAGCAACAGTTTGGTGGGACATCAAAACAAGATGATATTAAATCAGCACTAGTTATTATGATGTCTTATTTTCAAAATAGCTGTTCATTTCATCACAGGCAATAATATCAAGCAGCCCAGAATAAAGCCATTCCAGTTAATGAGTGAAAGTTTTATAAGGCTTCAAGGCCACACAATGAGGAATTATGATTACCACATACTTTTATATATTTGAATCATTTCTTATATTATTCACACATGGGAGATTAATTTATTTCACTTATGAGTATGGTCTCAAGCTGCGCCCATTTATTGATAAATATCTCAATGTGATCCCTCTTTATAGATGAGTAGTACTCCTTATATAGAAGTGTTGTGGAGTACCACAACTTTTTTATCGATCCCTCAGTTGATGGGCACTTGGGTTGTTTCCAAATCTGGCGATTACAAATTATGCTGCTATAAACATAGGTGCACATATATCACTGTGGTATGATGCTTTCAGTTCTTCTGGGAATATGCCTAGAAGTGGAATAGCTGGAACAATTGGGACTTCCAATCCCAGCTTTTTGAGAAATCTCTAGACTGACCTCCACAAAGGTTGTACCAGTCTACACTCTCACCAAAATACACAGAGCATCTTGATGGACCCTATCTCCTGATCTATTCTGCCTGTGTTTCTTTTCATTAGTGTATCAATGCTATCTATTTTAGAGATTACAGCCAACCTTCTCTGCCTCATTTCTGCTATGCTGTTTTTCTGCCATTGGTTCTCTACTTTTCCTCTTCATTCCACTATCTGCCCCATCATTGAGAACAAATTTAAATAAATGCAAAAGGGTTGAAATTATCCCTTGCATGCTATCGGACCATAGCACTATGAAATTAGAAATTAATGATAAAAGATACTGCAAAAATCCCACAAACACATGGAAACTGAATAACACACTCTTGAGTAATCAGTGGGTCACAGAGGAAATTAAAGGAGAAATTATATAATACCTGCAAACAAATGAAAACACAAATACAACTTACTGGAATCTGTGGGATGCAATGAAAGCTGTCCTCAGAGGAAAGTTTATTGCACTGAGTTCCCACATCAGAAAAACAGAACAAATACAAATAAATAACCTTATGTTACACCTCAAACATCTAGAAAAAGAACAGCAAGTCAAGCCCAAAGCCAAAAGAGAAGACATTATTAAAATCAGCAGAAATCAATGCAATAGAGACTAAAAAAGCAATCCAAAAAAAAAAATCAATGAATCAAAGAGTTGGTTCTTTGAAAGAATAAATAAAATCAATAAGCCCCTAGCCAACCTTATTAAAAAAAAGGGAAGAAAAAGCTCAAATTCATGCAATAAGGAATGAAAGAGGCGAAATTACTACAGACGCTATAGAAATACAAAAGATCGTCAACACTTATTTCAAAAACCTCTACTCTTAAAGGTTTGATAACACAGAGGAAATAGAAAGATTCCTAGAAGCATACAAAGTCCCAAAGCTAGGTCATGAAGATGTAAAACTACTGAGTAACCCAATTTATATTAATGAAATTGAAAACGTAATTAAATCTTTACCTACAAAGAAGAGCCCAGGCCCAGATGGATTCACTGCAGAATTCTACAAGAAATACAAAGAAGACCTAATGCCAACACTCCTCAAACTCTTCAATGAAATTGAAAGGGAAGCAATCCTTCCTAAATCGTTCCTAGAAGCAAATATTACTCTAGTACCAAAACCAGAGAAGGACCCAACTGAAAAAGAAAACTACAGACCAATCTCCCTCATGAACACAGAGGCAAAAATCCTTAATAAAATATTGACAAATAGGATGCAGCAAATCATCAAGAAGATCATAAACCATGACCAAGTGGGATGCATCCCAGGCATGCAGGGATTGTCCAATATATGTAAGTCAATAAATGTAATACACCATATTAATAGAGTCAAAAGTAAGAATCACATCATTTCTGTAGATGCAGAAAAAGCTTTTGATAAGGTCCAACATTCATTTATGATAAGAACCTTGCAGAAAATTGGAATAGATGATCTTTACCTCAATATAATTAAGGGCATCTATGACAAACCAACAGGCAATATCATATTAAATGGCCAGAAATTGAAGGCCTTTACTTTAAAATCAGGCACAAGACAAGGATGTCCCTTATCACCGCTCCTATTTAATATAGTACTGGAAATATTGGCCAGAGCAATTAGACAAGAGAGAAATAAAAGGCGTTAAGATAGGAAAAGAAGTTAAATTATCATTATTTGCAGATGATATGATACTCTATATAGAAGATCCCCAAAACTCCATTGAAAGACTCCTAGATATAATAAATAAATTCAGTAATGTAGCTGGATACAGAATCAATACTCAAAAATGAATAGCATTCCTATACACTAACAACAAAATCACAGACAGAGAAATAAGGGAGGCCACACCCTTCACACTAGCAACCAAAAAATGAGATACTTATGAATTACTCTCACAAAAGAAGTGAAAGACCTATACAGGGAAAATTATAATACACTGAAAGATGAAATTGAAGACGATGTCAGAAAATGGAAAGACATCCCTTGCTCATGGATAGGAAGAATAAATATTGTGAAAATGGCCATTCTCCCAAAACTGTTATACAGATTCAATGCAATCCCGATAAAAATACCATCAACATACTTCATAAATCTAGAGAAATCCCTCCTAAAATTGATCTGAAGCGAGAAGAGACCTAGAATAGCAAGGACAGTTCTAAGGAGCAAAAGCAAGGCAGGAGGTATCACAATCCCTGACTTGAAGTTATACTACAAAGCAACTAGTAAAATCAACATGGTACTGGAACCAAAACAGAGCCAAAGATCAGTAGAATAGATTAGAAGATACAACCACAACTACAAACACTCAACCACCTTATCTTTGATAAAGGGGCCAAACATGTTGACTGGAAGGACAACAGCCTCTTTATTTAATAAATGGTATTGGAAAAACTGGCTCTCCATATGTCAAAAACTAAAACTAGACCCATGCCTATCACCATGCACTAAAATAAAATCTAAATGGATCAAAGATCTAAATATTAAAACAGAAACACTGAATCTATTGGAAGACAAATTGGGTAAAAACCTTGAAGACATAGGAGTAGGTAGAGAATTCACAAACAGGACTCAAACCGCACGGGAAATACTTCCCAGAGTCAATAATTGGGATTGCCTCTTATTAAAAAGTTTCTGCACGTCAAAAGAAATCTCCAGCATAGTGAAAAGAAAACCCACAAACTGGGAAAAAAATCTTAGTGAACTGCCCCTCAGGCAAAGGACTTCTGTCTAAAACATATAAAGAATTAGAAAGAATCAGACCCCCAAAATTCAAAGATCCAATCAAAAAATGGGCATCTGAGATGAATGAACAATTTTAAGATGAAGAAATGCAAATGGCAAATAAATAGATGAAAAAATGTTCACCATCACTGGTCATTAGAGAAACGCAGATTAAAGCAACACTGATGTTTCATCTCACTCCTGAAAGAATGGCCAAGATCAAGAAAACCACCAACAACAAATGCTGGAGAGGCTGTGGGGAAAAAGGAACTCTCCTGCACTCTTGGTGGGAGTGTAGACTAGTACAACCATTGTGGAGGTCAGTCTGGAGATTTCTCAGAAATCTGGGACTGGAAGCCTCATTTGACTCAGCTATTCCACTTCTAGGCATATTCCCAGAAGAACTGAAGGCATCATACCACAGTGATATATGTCAACCCATGTTTATAGCTGCACAATTTGTAATAGCCAGATCTTGGAAATAACCTAAGTGTCCATCAACTGAGGAATGGATAAAAAAATTGTGGTGTTTTTATGCAATGGAGTACTACTCAGCTATAAAGAATGATCACATTGAGATATTTATAAATAAATGGACGCAGCTTGAGACCATACTCATAAATGAAATAAATCAAACTCGCATGTATTAATACCAAATAGTTTCCCTAGTATAAGAAATGATAAGAATACATAAAAGTATGTGGTAATTATGATATTGGTTTGAAGCCATATGATATTTTCATTCATTAATTGCAAAGGTTTTAACCTGGGTTGTTCAATTTTAGTATCTTTTTAAAAATAGCAAGAGGCATAATGGTAACCATTTTTGATCACCTGATATTCTATTTTTGCATCATGTACTATGCCCATCCTCTTGTTCTAACCGACTCTGTTTTGTTTAGTTATGTTAGGTTTTATTCTCTTCAAAAAAAGTAATAAGAACTGTGGGAGTAAAAAAACCCAAAAAGTGCAATTGTTATTGTAAAAAAGAGAGGAAAGGAAGGTGGTCTAAGGGATATAACTGCATGTATGTTTGAGGTGTAGAATGGAAAACCATATTACTAAGCTTTTGTTGGATCATTGAATGGAACTGTCTGCAATCTCACTGTATGAATGTGCACTTTATGTGCTTTAATTTTATAATTTGGACAACTGTTTCTAAGATGACAATGTATAACCTATTAACTAGTGATTTCTTACTGTATATTTTTTTCTAGAAATTCTGTATTATTTGTACCCTGTTACTGCTTTGTTTTTTTTTTGTTTGTTTGTTTGTTTGTTTCCTTTCTTTTTTCTCTTTAAATAAAAAAAAAACATTATAGCTGGTTTGTAAAGTGTACTGGTTTTAGGACATGTTTTTTACAATATTCTATTAGATAACATGTAAGTCAACCTTTGTCTTGTTTCTACTGACTAGTGTGTGCTAAAAGTGATGTCTTGTGGCTTCCCAAACTAGGTGAAGAATGCTGTCTCACACTGTTGACCAGATGCGGAGGAAGACACTTAGAGCACCTGCCTGTCTCGGATATGGTTCCAGCCCATGGCCACCACACTCAGACCCATCAGTGAACCAGCCCTCGATATTCCAGATCTGCAGCCTCCAGCTTGCACCAATGAGCTTAGGGAAGCAGAGACATGTTGTCCTCACCAAGCTGCTCTCAAGCCCTAGTGTTGGGCAGAAGATAAATACTGTCTTAAACTACTAAATTGGGGGTAATTTACTACAATCCAGCATAAGTTTCATGTACAAGGAGGGGAAAAAAAGAAGTTTTTAAAAACAGACAAGAAGAGGGCTGGGGATTTAGCTCAGCGGCATAAGTGCCTGCCTTGCAAGCAGGCAGTCATGAGTTCAATTCCCGGTACCGATAAAAAGGAAAAGAAAAAGAAAAAAAAAAAAAAAAAACAGACAAGAAGAAAAAAAATTAATCAGAAATTAGCCCCCTAGTAGGTTCTCACAAATAATGAGGCTCATTTATCAATAACAGTGCTAATATGATCAGCTTGAATAGAAGATAAATGTTGAGATGACTGAGGAAGAAGGCTTTCTAAAGTTCCTTTCAGTTGTAGGTTATTACTAGGAGGAAAACTGGTTTCTTTGGACTTTCTGATCAGTTAGGAGACATGAAAGAATGGAAAGCACATGAAAAATAATAGTTGAAAAGCAACAAAATTATTTGGTTTAATACTCAAAATCAGATATAAAGATTTCAACTACTGGGTTCTAAAACAGGTACTTCTGTATGCTTAGTAATTTGGTATTAAAACTTTATTTTCCTTTCTTTAATGAGGAAAAAGGAACACTGTGGAGCAATTTTTAATCTCAGAAGTACAACAAATGTAGTGTCCTTAGAAAGGGAAGAAAAGAAATACAGCTTTTCTTTAACCTGTTCAAGTGTGTTCACATGCAGAAGACCATATAACAACATTTCCCCATGGGATACAAATAGGCTTTGGAATTTTAAATTCATATCACTACTTTGACTACTATCTGTCTTTGTCAAACTGCCTGAACACTGCTTGATTTTTATGAACTATACTCTTGAAAAATTATTCTTGGGCTGAACTGTTTAATCCATGAGCCCTGTAATGACTGATAATGGTTGCAGTGGCTGATACACTGTTTTAACTTGAGAAATTTAGACATTTAAGGAAGTGACTCAACAGAAGCTCCATGTCCTCACTGTGTAAACATGCTCATCCTGTACAAGAGGGCACGGAGATGGTGTGAATGCTATACCCACTCTCGGGAGTGGTAGTCTGATTACAATACAAGGGAGGGAAAGAGGCTTACTCTTTATTCTTTGGCTCAATGAAGCTCTTGCTGTCTCCTGTCAAGTGGAACTCTTGCCCCTTTGCCATGTCACTCTGTCCTTGAGCCAGATGATTATGGACTGAACCCTCCACAAACTCTGAGATAAATGAATCTTTCCTCCCTGAATTATTAGGGTTGAGTATTTTGTCTCAGAAATAAGAGAAAAGTAAACAACATGTTTATTGAAGGATAAAGCAAGGTTAGGCATCTCTGCTTATGGGAAAGGAGATATGTGTATGCATGAAACTGTGGTTTCTGGCATGTAGAATCTGTGCCCCCAAAAAATCAGCCCCAGTGTGGTACACATGAACCAATAGCAGGGCAAATGAGGATGGGACTGTGAACTGTAAGGTGACAGTTGGCTCAATTTCTAAAGAAAAAGGCTATCCCCTTCTAGCTTCATTTCCCCCCTCCTAGTTGTTAACAATCTAGAGATAACTGTGAATGACAAAGAGTTAATGAAACATGCAGTGAATAGCATTCTGAGTTAGCAGATGCTCTGCTAAGATGGAGGAATGGGAGATACGAAGGATGCCCTGGATGGAAGATGAAAAGTTTGCATGGAGAAAAGGACAGCAATGGGCTCTGCTTTGTCAGCCTGACTTCCCTTCATGTCATGGAGTCAGCAAGACATGAACTGGCCAGTGTCCTACAGAAAGAAAAATATCTCCATAGGAGTAAAGACAAAGTAGTCCTACCGCAAGAACTGACACTTACAGGGTCCAACAGGACTAGAAAGTGAAGTGGTAAGCCACGGAGTGACAGAAAATATCTGACAATCGTGTATCTGATAAAGGATTTATATTTTGGATATATAAAGGACTCAAAAAGCAGAAAAGATAACCCAAAGCTGAGCATGGTGGCATACACCTGGAATCCCTCCAAAGGCTGAGGCCAGATGTTTTTCAGGACTTCAAGGAAAGCCTGAGCTACACAGTAAGACCCTGTCTCAAAAAAAAGGAAAAGGGAAAAGGTAACTCAAACTGAAAATGCAGAAATAACTGAAGTATACATTTGTCCAATGAAGATACACAAATGTCAATCGGCTTGTGAAAACACATATGCCCAACACCACGCCCTTACTCACCAATAGGGAAGTTGCATTATAAAAGTAAAATGCAAATGCAAGGGAAAGTCACAATCAGATTTCACTTCATTTGCATGGAATCTTTCAACCAAAAAGAATAAAAACTCTTGGCAAGGATACAGAGATGCTGTAACTCTCATACAATGCTGGAAGAAGGTGAAATGGTGCAATAAGTTTGGAAAATGGACCGGCACTGCTAGTTTCTCCAAAGGTTAAGCACAGAGAGTTACCACATGACTCCACACAGAAGCCAAGAGAAATGAAAGCAGGCACACACAAAATGCTGTACATGTATTTGCACAGCAGTATGAATAACTGTTGAAATGGAAACTACTGCAAGTCCATCAACTGCTTGATGAATTAAAAATACACACAAGAGGACATTACTTAGAAGAGAAAATAAAGTACAGATACCTACAAAATGAATGAATCTTGAGAACCTGCTAAGTGAAAGAAGGCAGTCCCAAAAGAAGCCAGGACACATATTGAGTATTTTGATACAAAATGTCCAGAAGAACACAATCTACAAAGTATATCACTGGTTCTTTAACAGTGAGCCAGGAAAGAGGTAGGCAGTGGTTGAAAGGTCTGAATTTTCTTTTTAGAATGAAAGAATTTCCTGAAATTGGGGTGATGACTCTGAATATACTGAATGCAACCAAATTGCACATTTTAAATGACTGAATTTCAACCTACGTAAACTATTTTAATAAAGATGCAACCAACATCCCAAAATTCATTTCATACACATGATTTGAGGTTATGTGATGGTCTATATGTTGGCTTTGTATCATTGGCCAGGGCTTAAAACAACAAGATACCCTTTGAATTGAAAAGGAGTGATTATATCAAATAAAAGTCAAAAAATATCCTTCCCTTCACTGATTAAAATGCAATGATGTATAGTTCCCCAAACTAAGTAGTTATTGTTCCCAAAACTACTAAGAAATTACCTTGTAGATTAGCCTGGTATTTGGAATATTCACTTCAAGTGCACTGGAATTTGTATCTCCATGGAAACAAAGGTCTCCACTTCTGTGCTCATCTAACTTTGTTTCTTTTCTTTTAACAAGTTTCTTATATCTGCAAGAATGTACAGAGTGAAATTTGAAGTTTTACCTCTTGAAACAGATATTATATTCTAACATGAAAATAAGTTTAGAAATTACTATTCTCTTTCATTTGTTTCAATCTAACAGTATTTGAAAGCATTGACAGAAATATAATCTTAGATAAATAATATGCAGTAAAAGTTTATGCTGTATATGTGACAGTAAAGAGCTAATACTGTAACCATGCACAAGATTCATATAATTACTATCCTCTTTGGTATGTTAACATAATACACTAACTTATTCATCTTAGCTAAAGCCCAGAGATCAGAAACCAAAATGAAGAAAAATATACTTACATGTATTTGAATGTTAAAGATTTTAAAAACATAATTAGGTATCTGTTAACCATGGTGAACAAGAAAAGAAAGAACACACAAAACTCTGAAGGTGGGCTGGAGGTGCAGCTCAGTGGTAGAGTATGTGTCCAGCATGTGCAAATATATAGGTTCAGTCTCAAACAAAGAACAAAAGGAAAGCAAAGCAAAGAGAAGAAAAGAAAATATTGAGATTATTGGAAACAGAAAAAGACAAGAAACATCATCTTTGAAATCTGAGTTGAAGAGGAAAAGAAGCAGTTTAGGAGAAAGGAAATCAACAGAGGAATAATAGGTAGTCTGAAAGTGTGTTTTAGGAACAAATTTCAGTCTTTGGTACTACCATGCTGACAAAATGCAGGAGGTACAAAACTGGAAAGACAGACAGTTAAGGAGATGCAAATATTGGCTTGAATCATAACAGCCTCAAGCTCTCCATTAACCAATGGTAACCAGCCATAATGGGGGCTTCAAGACACTGGAAAACACTTTTTATTCATTTTTAAACCATTTTATTCTTTTTTCGGGTAGAATCATTTGCATCCGCAAGGCATACATATTTTTGTGTGCAGGAGACTTTACAATCACCCCTTTCTATCCTGCAGGTTCTGTTTTCAGGAATTCAGTCAACAGTAGACTGAAAATACTCAGGAAAAGAACTGCATCTGTACTCAACACATACTAATTTTTTTGTCATTACTCCTTGAATGACACAGCAAGGACTCACATAACATTTACCTTCTATTAAGTGTTAATAATCTATCAATGACTTAAAACATAGGAGGATTCAGTAGAGTATATGCAAATGCTATGCAATTATGTAAAAGAGACATGAGTATCCAAGGAGATTGATATCTAAAGAGGTCCTGGGACCAATACTGGGGGGTGATTGTATAGTATTTACACACACACACAGACACACAAACACACACATATGTATATTTGTATAATATATAATCTTGAATGAAGGCACACACACGATAAGTGGACAGAAGCTTAGTAACACATATACTGCATGCACACATGGGATTACTCATGGAAGAGAAATGTAGTTGTTGACAGATTTTATAGCTAAAAGAGAAAGAGGTACACAGAAAATATGAGACAAATGAAGATTAATGTTAGTGTTATTAAAGAATGACATAGGCTGTTAAACACAAAAATATATTTTAATGCTAGCTGGAAGGATATTACCAAAAGAAGGTAAGAGAGAAAAAAACTCTCAAATAAAAATTCAAGTAGATAAAAAGAGTGAACTTCATATTATTGCCAAGCACTCTCATGTGTTTGAAACCACTAGAGTAAATAACATATGGCATTCACAAAACAGATTATGCTGTGGGTCACTAAGGTAAATTTTAAAATATACTAATTTGTGTATTGATTAAAATGCAAATAATAAATTCACAATTAGTTTAGTAAAGTTAGTGAAACCATTCATGACTGGTTGGTACGGTTTGACATATGAAAATCTTACCCTGCTAGCTCTGATTCCAGTTCATGAATTTTCTTCTTGTCTTGACCCGAAGCACATTCCAGTTCATGAATTTTCTTTTCTTGACCCAAAGCACATTCCAGCTCATGATTTTCTTCTTTTCTTGACCCGAAGCACATTCCAGCTCATGAATTTTCTTCTTGACATGACCCGAAGCACATTCCAGTTCATGAATTTTCTTTTCTTGACCCAAAGCACATTCCAGCTCATGATTTTCTTCTTTTCTTGACCCGAAGCACATTCCAGCTCATGAATTTTCTTCTTGACATGACCCGAAGCACATTCCAGTTCATGAATTTTCTTTTCTTGACCCAAAGCACATTCCAGCTCATGATTTTCTTTTTTTCTTGACCCGAAGCACATTCCAGCTCATGAATTTTCTTCTTGTCTTGACCCGAAGCACATTCCAGTTCATGAATTTTCTTTTCTTGACCCAAAGCACATTCCAGCTCATGATTTTCTTCTTTTCTTGACCCGAAGCACATTCCAGCTCATGAATTTTCTTCTTGACATGACCCGAAGCACATTCCAGTTCACGAATTTTCTTCTTGACTTGACCCGAAGCACATTCCAGCTCACGAATTTTCTTCTTGACTTGACCCAAAGCACATTCCAGCTCACGAATTTTCTTCTTGACTTGACCCAAAGCACATTCCAGCTCATGAATTTTCTTCTTGACTTGAAGCGAAGCACATTCCAGCTCACGAATTTTCTTCTTGACTTGACCCGAAGCACATTCCAGCTCACGAATTTTCTTCTTGACTTGACCCGAAGCACATTCCAGCTCACGAATTTTCTCCTTGACTTGACCCGAAGCACATTCCAGCTCACGAATTTTCTTCTTGACTTGACCCGAAGCACATTCCAGCTCACGAATTTTCTTCTTGACTTGACCCGAAGCACATTCCAGCTCACGAATTTTCTTCTTGACTTGACCCGAAGCACATTCCAGCTCACGAATTTTCTTCTTGACTTGACCCAAAGCACATTCCAGCTCACGAATTTTCTTCTTGACTTGACCCGAAGCACATTCCAGCTTAGGAATTTTCTTCTTGACTTGACCCGAAGCACATTCCAGCTTACGAATTTTCTTCTTGACTTGACCCGAAGCACATTCCAGCTCATGAATTTTCTTCTTGACTTGACCCGAAGCACATTCCAGCTCATGAATTTTCTTCTTGTCTTGACCCGAAGCACATTCCAGCTCATGAATTTTCTTCTTGTCTTGACCCGAAGCACATTCCAGCTCATGAATTTTCTCCTTGACTTGACCCGAAGCACATTCCAGCTCATGAATTTTCTCCTTGACTTGACCCGAAGCACATTCCAGCTCATGAATTTTCTTCTTGTCTTGACCCGAAGCACATTCCAGCTCATGAATTTTCTGCTTGACTTGACCCGAAGCACATTCCAGCTCATGAATTTTCTTCTTGACTTGACCCGAAGCACATTCCAGCTCATGAATTTTCTGCTTGTCTTGACCCGAAGCACATTCCAGCTCATGAATTTTCTGCGTCTTGACCCGAAACACATTGCAGCTCATGAATTTTCTTCTTGTCTTCACCCGAAGCACATTCCAGCTCATGAATTTTCTTCTTGACTTGACCCGAAGCACATTCTAGCTCATGAATTTTCTTCTTGTCTTGACCCGAAGCACATTCCAGCTCATGAATTTTCTTCTTGTCTTGACCCGAAGCACATTCCAGCTCATGAATTTTCTTCTTGACTTGACCCGAAGCACATTCCAGCTCATGAATTTTCTTCTTGTCTTGACCCGAAGCACACTCCAGCTCATGAATTTTCTTCTTGTCTTGACCCGAAGCACATTCCAGCTCATGAATTTTCTTCTTGACTTGACCCGAAGCACATTCCAGCTCATGAATTTTCTTCTTGTCTTGACCCGAAGCACATTCCAGCTCATGAATTTTCTTCTTGACTTGACCCGAAGCACATTCCAGCTCATGAATTTTCTTCTTGACTTGACCGGAAGCACATTCCAGCTCATGAATTTTCTTCTTGACTTGACCCGAAGCACATTCCAGCTCATGAATTTTCTTCTTGACTTGACCCGAAGCACATTCCAGCTCATGAATTTTCTGCTTGTCTTGACCCGAAGCACATTCCAGCTCATGAATTTTCTGCGTCTTGACCCGAAACACATTGCAGCTCATGAATTTTCTTCTTGTCTTCACCCGAAGCACATTCCAGCTCATGAATTTTCTTCTTGACTTGACCCGAAGCACATTCTAGCTCATGAATTTTCTTCTTGTCTTGACCCGAAGCACATTCCAGCTCATGAATTTTCTTCTTGTCTTGACCCGAAGCACATTCCAGCTCATGAATTTTCTTCTTGACTTGACCCGAAGCACATTCCAGCTCATGAATTTTCTTCTTGTCTTGACCCGAAGCACACTCCAGCTCATGAATTTTCTTCTTGTCTTGACCCGAAGCACATTCCAGCTCATGAATTTTCTTCTTGACTTGACCCGAAGCACATTCCAGCTCATGAATTTTCTTCTTGTCTTGACCCGAAGCACATTCCAGCTCATGAATTTTCTTCTTGTCTTGACCCGAAGCACATTCCAGCTCATGAATTTTCTTCTTGACTTGACCCGAAGCACATTCCAGCTCATGAATTTTCTTCTTGACTTGACCCGAAGCACATTCCAGCTCATGAATTTTCTTCTTGACTTGACCCGAAGCACATTCCAGCTCATGAATTTTCTTCTTGACTTGACCCGAAGCACATTCCAGCTCATGAATTTTCTTGACTTGACCCGAAGCACATTCCAGCTCATGAATTTTCTTCTTGTCTTCACCCAAAGCACATTCCAGCTCATGAATTTTCTTCTTGTCTTGACCCGAAGCACATTCCAGCTCCTGAAATTTCTTCTTGTCTTGACCCGAAGCACATTCCAGCTCATGAATTTTCTTCTTGTCTTGACCCGAAGCACATCCCAGCTCATGAGTTTTCTTCTTGACTTGACCCGAAGCACATTCCAGCTCATGAATTTTCTTCTTGACTTGACCCGAAGCACATTCCAGCTCATGAGTTTTCTTCTTGTCTTGACCCGAAGCACATTCCAGCTCATGAATTTTCTTCTTGACTTGACCCGAAGCACATTCCAGCTCATGAATTTTCTGCTTGTCTTGACCCGA